CACACACACACACACACACACACACACCACCACACACACACACACACACACACACACACCCCCCACCACACACACACACACACACACACACCTCCCCCGTTTCTCCCCCTCAGGTCTACATGACGGGGTCTCCGGGCAATCCCGCATGCTCCAACCATCCCGTTCCGAAACCTGGGAAAGGCGGACGCCTCATCCCTTACGACCAGGCTGCATGCCTGTTCCACGCTCGCAGTGTTTACATAGAGAAGGTCTGTGGCTGCTACTGGATGGGAGCCGAAAATAGCAGAGGTGAGTGAGTCTACCATCGTGGTATCGCATGTGGAGTATCCGGGGAGTATAATACATACTATATATAGACTCTATTGACTCGTATCGTACAGTATCGTAGAGTATCGTAGAGCATCTTGTTAAATTGCGGCGCAGAAAATCTACCCATAGAATTTGAATTGGCAGAGAATTAATTCGTACATTAGAAGTCAAAGTCAAACGCGGCTCTGCGTTTCACGTCTCTTTCAGACATAGAAATATAATTATAGAGACACTAACTAGTCTAGGTCTAACTTGTGTATTATTTCTATCGTTTCAGATGATCTAAACGTGACAAGAGAATGTAATATTATGGAGTACCTCACGTGTTTCATTCCACATCTAAGTAATTATGTATATATATATATACTTTATATATTATGGCCTATAATATAAAGCGAGAGAGAGCGTGAGCGAGAGAAAGAGAGAGCGAGAGTGGGAGAGAGAGCGCAGGAGAGAGCGAGAGTGCGCGGAGAGAAGAGACATTAGAGAGCGAGAGTGAGAGAGGGAGAGAGAGACACCGACGAGATGACAGAGGAGGAATCGAGGCGAGAGAGGAGAGAGATAGAAGAAGCTGATAGAGAGAGACGTGTTGATGAGAAGAGATAGAGAGAGAGAGTGGAGTGGTCGTCCTGCTCTTGGATGGGAGATACGAGACCGACCGAGAGCGGGCGTGGCGGCCGGGAGACGAGAGGAGGAGAGAGAGAGAGAGAGAGAGCCAGCAGCGCGGAAACTCGAGCCGATCTATTTCAACAGGCGGGCCGTTACCATCATTCAACAAATCCTCATGAATGCAGCTCGACGTCATTCATCGCAATCGGACAGGTATTGTTACAACTCCTGTCGTTCTTGGTGACATCGGCGCGTGCGATTGTCTTACAACTGATTGTTCTTCAGACTCGAAGTGTTGTTACAACTGAGGTTGTTTCCAGAGCAGTCTCGATTTCGACAACGGGTGACTGCGGAGTTGGTGTGCTGCGGATGCGTAGTTGAGAAACCTACGCACTATCAAATGTCGCTGAACGTCGCAGCCCTCTCCGTCGCCTGGAGCAAAATTCTCCAATACATCGCATAGATGAATTGCAGGTTAGGGCAGTTACCTCGGGACGTGCAGTTGTCCAATTCGTTTTTATTTTGCTCAGGACGGATGAATCGGTATTCACCACACACATAGATCGCTGGCTATCGGTGAGTGATGTTGTGTGTGCTGTGTGTGTGGGATGGTGCTGTGTGTGCGTTGTGCTCATCGCTGTGTGTGTGTGTGTGTGTATGTGTGTGAGCGATCAATGCACTTACCCCTCTTTTTTATATTCTCATCTCTCCCTTTCGTTTCTCTCTTGCTTTCTCTCTATCGTAATTCTCTTTCTCTCTCACCTGCTCTCCTCTCATCTCTATAATCTCTTCCTCTCTTGGCTATCTCTCT